ATATATATATATATATATAGGCTCGTGGACCACTAAAAACGTTACTGTATCCATCCATATAAACAGGCGAACCCAAACTCGGGTCTAGCTCTGGTCGTGTCCACTGAAATCATAACCTCCCCCAGCTGGTACCAAGGCAAGCTCCGGTCAATGCTCATCCCCAACTGCCTCTTCCGTCTTGGCGGCGCCGCCATCCTCCTCTCCGCCTCCCCCTCCCACCGCCACCGCTCCAAATACGAACTCCTCCACGTCGTCCGCACCCACCTCGCCTCCGACGACATCGCCTACCGCTGCCTCTGGATGGAAGAGGACGAAGCCGGACATCTCGGCATATCCCTCGGCAAACAAGTCGTCGAAGTCGCCTCCAAAGCCCTCCAACTCCATTTCGCTTCCCTCTGCCCTCTCGTCCTCCCCTTCTCCGAAAAACTCCGCTACATCTCCTTTCTACTGCAACGCCCCAACAGCAAATCGGACTCATCCAAGCCGACTTTCGTCCCGCAGTTCAGGCGCGCGTTCGAACATTTCTGCCTGCACGCTGGGGGGAAGGCGGTGGTGGACGGGCTGCAGAAGGTGTTGGAGCTGACGGACGAGGAGGTGGAGGCCACCAGGATGTCGCTGCATCGCTTCGGCAATACGTCGAGCAGTTCGGTGTGGTATGGGTTGGGGTACACGGAGGCGAAGGGGAGGGTGAGGAAGGGGGATAGGATCTGGCAGCTGGGACTTGGGGGCGGGTTTAAGTGTAATAGTGCTGTTTGGAGGTGCGTTAGGGATGTGGATCCAAAGAAGGAAGCTGGTGGGGCGTGGGCGACTTGCGTTCATAGGTACCCGGTTTATTGCTCATGAAACCGCGTTTTGTAACCGCGCAAGGTACAGTTAAGTATAGTGCAATCCATTTGGCAATTGTTAACGAGGATTTGAACCAAAAATTGTGGGAGTTTGTAGTACCTGAATAATTATTCTTTGTGTTATCATCAAGGAAGAAGTGTATGATTATTATGATTATTATTATTGTATTCAATTGGTAATTGGATGGGTGAGGGGGGACTTTAATTTGTGTTTGTCGGTTATAGGGTTCATTTCATAATGCTGTATTGCTTTTATATTGCTGTTGTTGACTTTGTATGAAATAATATTATCACATTTTTAGCTTGAGTGTTTGCTCTTTGGTGGGAAATGCAAGGATGAAATAAGTTTGTGAATGTGTTTCATATTGATAAATATCACTCAGTTTATATATATTTACATGTTCAATTGCTAAGCTTCAATTTTTTACCTTTATGCTATAATGCCCTTACATCAAAAGGGGTATGTCAACTTAAAATAATGATTTTTAATGTGATATGAATGATTTAGAAAATAAAGTTAGATGGAAATTACGTGGTGCGCAGGAAAAAGCTCTCATGAAATGAATAATGGCATTACTATTTTACAGCTAATCAGAGAAATTAAAAGAAAGAAGGGTCCCCAAATAACAAAGGGCAGCTCTGCGTTCGCGGGGCAGGAGCAAGTTGGCCCATTTGTGCAGTTAGTGCTATTTAATGTTATGGGTATTGATGCAATTATTGGCAGACAACTTCATGATAGAAATAAATTTTCTGAGCCTAGATGTAATGACCATTTTTGCTTTTTATTTTTCAGAAAAATGAGAAGTGAGGCAGAATAAGTTGGTTGAAGACAAATTATACAAAATTACACAATCAAATTATGCAAATATGAATTGAGAATTTCAAAAAATACATAAATACTTCTCATTTTTTTCTTCAGATAAAAAACACAGTTCTGAATTTCGCAGGAAACGGGCGGGATTCTCAAAACACTAGTATTTATTAGAAATTACAGTTTTGTCCATTCGATGCAGATATCTCACTGCAGAAGTCTGTTGTGCCAGCGTTCGCTGCGACGCTGACTACAGGATTCAACCTACCAATATATATATATATATATATATATATATAACGTTAAAATATCTGATTCTTTTGTCCTGGAAACTTATCGGGATTTCATTTTATAATACCTACATTAAATGTCATGTTTTTTTCTGCATATTTTGTAATTAAAATAATAATAATAATAAATACAGATCAGAATCTTGGGTATTTATGTATTTAATATCTAAAATTTGGTTGTTTTTTTTTAAGTTATGCCTATTTTGAAAATTTTTGAGTGGTTAGAGGGTCAAATAGGTTTAAAATAGGATAATTTTAAAATAAAATCGAGTATCTCAATGAGACAAAATCAACAAGCTCAAGATCAATTAATCTGAAATCATTAAAACACTTATATATCTCTTTAACATCATCACATCAAGGAAATCATTCCGCTTGTCTGATAAAATGATATGGATTCCTGTGTTATTTGCGGGGGACATCATTCTCATTCTCAGCTTGGATGATCAACTACGGCCGACATTACTAATTGATACTGTAGTTTCCAACTACGACTCATGTGACCAACTAACGCCGCCGCTGCTCCCGCTACGGTCTATATTACCAATTACTATATTCATAGACTCCCACTACGATTTTTATGGTCAACTGACTCTCCTGAGGCTATCAACTACGACAATGTGGCCACCAACTACCATAACTTTCAACTATGGCCTTTTACGACAAACTTAGGCTATTACGACCATCTTCTACGGCATTTGTTGTGTCATATTGTCTTTGTGCAATCAGCTACATCATTTTCTGTGCGTAGACGTTGCTATCGTCAAGAACAACAATTTGATTGTTGTTATTATCCTTGAATTATTGTTGTATAGCTATGCTTATCAACTTTATAAATCCAACTTTTCTAATTTAAAAGAAGAGTTGACCTATGTAATTACAATCACGCCTCATGATATTTTTCCCCTTGCTAGTATCTACTCATGTTTTGTTTTCACTATCTATGGTGTATTAGATTTCGTACAATGTTGAGATGTTTAATTATCACTCTACCACTGCGAATCCTCTAACACTTAACTGTTTGTGCATATCATAAAAGAAATAAGTAATAAATATATTTTTAGTGCTTGAATGAGCAGTACATTGATTAGAAAAAGAAATTAATAAAAAAAATCTAGATTCCATCTCCTTAAAAAAAATGGATAATTACATGAAGAACACTAAAAAATTTACTATTTTATTACTAACCCGTAGGTCATTTTTTTTAAGCTAAAGAATAACTGCATCTTATGCATGTCACCATGAAATTAGTAGAAATTTGATAAAATTATGTGCGATGTATGTAAATGCCCCCAATGAAAATTTTGGTTTGAGGTTTTGTTGTTAATTTTGATATTTGAGTGGGAATTTCAAGAAAAAACACGTAAGAAAGAGAGTGGTAGTTTATAAATAGAAAAGTTTGGAGTGTTATTGTTATTCATCTCCCCTTCTATCTCCTTCTTTATTTGGAGATTGTTTCATAACCTTCTACCCCTTGATGACGAGCGTTTTTTCTGTCCGGACTCCTTACGTAGCTCTACGTGCGGCGTAGGTTATTCTTAAGTTATTTTCAGGTTATTTCTATGTTATTTTTAACAATACGAAAATAACCCAGAAATAACCCGCGGTCTTTATTTTTGGGGTATTTCTGGGTTATTTCATTATTATTAAAAATAACCCAATTATTATTAAAAATAACTATTATTAAAAATAACCCAGAAATAACCTGAAAATAACTTGGTTCGTACGTAGAGCTACGTCAGGAGTCCGCACAGAAAAAAAATTTTCTTGGTGACATCCTTAAAATGAAGGGTTTAAAGTTGGCATCTGTTTGTTATGTTTGTAAGTAAGAAGCTGAATCTCCTAATCATTTACTTTATGAATGTAAATTTGATTTCATTGTTTGGCATCATATTGGTTTATATTTTGATTTAAGATGGCCAATTAGATTCCACATTAACAATATTCTGGAAACTTGGAAGAACTCTATATACTATCACAATAAGCTTCAGTATTTCCCTATGATTGTTCTGTGGTTTATTTGGGTTGGAAGAAATAGTCACAAGTATGAGAACTCACCTCATACCCCCCATAATTTGGTTGCTCTTATTGTTGCCAACTTCCTTAAAGCCTCTAAAGCGATGGGAGGTATTATTTCTTAGCATTGCAGTGTTCATAGACCAACCTTAATTAAGTGGTCTCCTCCTTTCCCTGGGTGGATTAAGGGCAATATTGATAGCAGTTTTAATGGTGAGAAGTTCGGAATTGGTGGTTTATTTCGGGATGCTAGTAGTCAGTGTCTGGTTTTATTTGCTTCACAATGCTTTGCATCTTCTCCTTTGGAAGCAGAAACTAGGGCTGTTTTGGGTGCTCTACAAACTGTCATTTCCCATGACTTCTCTAATCTCATTATTGAAACTGGTTCTCAAGTTCTTTTTCACACTTTTACGGGCAAGGTAAAGCCTCTTTGGAATATGATGATTTTGATTAATCGAATAGGTTGTATGGTGGCTAGCTCTAATCTCTCTATTCAGCATAATTTTGTTAATCGGGAAGGAAATAGGCCTGCAGATTGGCTGACTAAACATGGTTACAATAGAATTTATATTGGGCAAACCCCCCCCTACGGGGTTTTGATGGCTTGTTTTATCCCATTCTCATTTGGATCTTTCCTTTTTACTGAGTGGTGTACATCAAACACTTATATATGTTTGTTTAGAGGCAAGAGAAGATGTTTTATTGGGAGGCCCATGGCTCCCTTTTTTGTGGCAATATTTCAGGAATATATTGGAGGCCCATGGCTCCTATTTTTTGCATACTTTCCTGGTTTGGAGCCTCAAAGCTCCTAATACTTATTTAAGAAATACTGGATGGTTTGATGATGCTTTCCTTTTCTATATGGGGAGGAAAAATAGTACTTTATTTTGCAATGGTTGTTGGAGGTTTAGGCTGTGCGTTTCCTGTTATTATCAATCTCTCACTTTGGGTTTTCTTTGCCTTTAATCTTCTTATTCTCATTGGGAGAAATGTAAGTTGTTTTGAATACTTTCCTTGTTGGACTACTTAGATGAGTTTTACGGTATTTCAATACCTTATAAGATACTTTTGTTGGTTATGTTTGAAGTTGGCCAGAGTGAGTTTGTATGGGTGGGTTATGTGCAGCTCACGGTTTTTTTCTCTTGAATTTTATTTGGCGGGGGCTGCTAGTATTTGAGGCCATTAGGGGGTCTTTACTGCTTTTGTCAACCGTTAGGGGCTTACATAAGGAGCATGATTTCCTTACCACTTCTTGGGCGCTCTCTCTCTGCAGCTTATATTATCAGTGGCTTATAAAGACTCCTCTTTTAATGTCTTATCCCCTCACCGTCATTTATTCTACTAACATTTATGAACTACATGTTCTTAGACGTCAACTTATTAATAAATCTTATTCAATTCAAGAAATGAGATTAATAAAATAGACTCTCATTAATTCGTCACATTTTTTTATTCTAAAATTCTTAGGGCTTATCGTATGTTTTTATCATCAACCGATGTACCAAGCGGCTAATAAAAATGAAATACATATTTTTTTTCTCGAATCCGCAGTAAATTACTTGAAAACAAACTGAAGAATTTTAAAGGGACAACTTCGGGTCCTTACTTTTCCCAAAAAAAAAAAAAATAAATAAATAAATAAACAATTTTCTATGTTACAATTTTCTATGTTATCATCACTAAATGCAATCAGATACTGTGATCATTTTTTGATTCGACCTTTGTAATCTTATAGCATTTATATACATATTTTTGTGACTATTGCTTAATCAATGTTTGGCTAGTTATTTAGTGGTGTACTGTGTGCAGAAATTTAAGATAATTATGCATTTAGTGTGAAAATTTACAAATTCAAAATAAATTTTGAATTAATTTGAAATTCACATCGTAGTTAATTATGTTGAATTTAGAATCAACAAATTTCACCTTACATATTCGAAGTCATTGTAGCCTGCCATTTTTACAAGTCTGCCGATAGTCCACTGCCACCACCCATCATTGTTGGCACCGGCCACCAGTCTTCGCCATCAACGACAGGTTGTTTGTCACAGCCTCCGCTGGCTGTTCATCTCTTACGTAGTTGCTTCCACTTGCTATCTACCGCCATCGACCTCCCGCCCGCGGAAGCCACTGCATGTCACTGCAACAACTGCAGTTCGCCACCACCGGCCGCCCGCCACCCACCGTTGC